AGATTTTAAAGTTTTTAAAAAAGTTTGTTTCTAATTAAAGACCAGGAAGGCCAAACTCTAGTACAACGGCTGCATATCGGATGATTTAGTGATTCCATATTACGATTAGAAGAAGTGCAGCTATGTTCTTATTGGTTGCAACCAGTACATAGTTAATTTGAATTTACTTTTCCCCAACCCAATATACTTTAGGACTCTACTCGTTTTATTTTGCAAGAGTTTTTAAACACACAAAAACAACAACAAATTGGAAAGAAATTCACAAAATAGTTCAAGTTTATTGCGGTTTTATAAACCAATTTAAATCCAAAAGAGAAATAATTGCAAAAAGATTTAATTTATGAGCCATTAAAAAAAAAAAAAACAATAACATAATTTTTAAATTAAAAAAAAAAATAATTGTCAAATAGTTCACGTGTCTGTCTGGCAAGATTCTATAAAAAAAAAAACTTTAAAAATAAAATTCTTTCATATCCCACAAATCTATTGTTAATAAACAGCAGCCTGTTTATAAAATTGTTAATAATTGTATATAAACAATAAATTAAAACCTGTTATTAAATAGCGAAATTTGGAAACAAAACAAAAAGAAGTTATAACAATAATCTATAAACAAGAAATTTACTAAAGTTGTTTTTTAATAAATATTCTTAAAATTTCAAAGTTAAAAAAGAATTCTCGATGTATCAGAGCAAATAGACTAATAGTTTATTGAAATTTGTTGTTTAAAAGCTAACAAAAGGAGCTTTTTGAAATAAGTTGTAACTTGGGCGATTAAAAGTTGAAGTTGTTTGCAATTAAGTATGTATTTTCAGAAATGTAAATAAAATAAGTAAATAAAAATAACGATGACGTTTAATTTGTAAAATGAATGAAGATTAGTTTTTTAAAGCGCAAAGTGTTGTTTAGTGCTGTAATATTCTAATACTTTTGATTACTCATACTACTCAATACTTTTCGTTTGGGTACTCAATACTACTCGATACTTTTAACGGTTTTATTTTAAATTAAAAACGAGCAATTTTTCCTTTTTTTAAGTAAAGTTAGACCAGACATCACACCTCTTTTGAGACATTTTATTTTTTTTAAATTGCGTCAATAAATATTTGTAACTTTGACTATTATTGCAGTTTTTAAATTATTTTTACATTGATTTGATATTGCTAAGAGTTGCATTTCTAATAATGATCTGTATTAGTTGTCTAGTCCATAGTCTAGTCTATAGTCTAGTCTATAGTCTAGTCTATAGTCTAGTCTATAGTCTAGTCTATAATCTAGTCTATAGTCTAGTCTATAGTCTAGTCTACAGTCTAGTCTATAGTCTAGTCTATAGTCTAGTCTATAGTCTAGTCTATAGTCTAGTCTATAGTCTAGTCTATAGTCTAGTCTATAGTCTAGTCTATAGTCTAGTCTATAGTCTAGTCTATAGTCTAGTCTATAGTCTAGTCTATAGTCTAGTCTATAGTCTAGTCTATAGTCTAGTCTATAGTCTAGTCTATAGTCTAGTCTATAGTCTAGTCTATAGTCTAGTCTATAGTCTAGTCTATAGTCTAGTCTATAGTCTAGTCTATAGTCTAGTCTATAGTCTAGTCTATAGTCTAGTCTATAGTCTAGTCTATAGTCTAGTCTATAGTCTAGTCTATAGTCTAGTCTATAGTCTAGTCTATAGTCTAGTCTATAGTCTAGTCTATAGTCTAGTCTATAGTCTAGTCTATAGTCTAGTCTATAGTCTAGTCTATAGTCTAGTCTATAGTCTAGTCTAGTCTAGTCCTATAGTCTAGTCTATAGTCTAGTCTATAGTCTAGTCATAGTCTATCTCTAGTCTAGTCTATAGTCTAGTCTCTAGTAGTCTATAGTCTATAGTCTAGTCTATAGTCTAGTCTATAGTCTAGTCTATAGTCTAGTCTATGTCTAGTCTATAGTCTAGTCTATAGTCTAGTCTATAGTCTAGTCTATAGTCTAGTCTATAGTCTAGTCTATAGTCTAGTCTATAGTCTAGTCTATAGTCTAGTCTATAGTCTAGTCTATAGTCTAGTCTATAGTCTAGTCTATAGTCCTAGTCTATAGTCTAGTCTATAGTCTAGTCTATAGTCTAGTCTATAGTCTAGTCTATAGTCTAGTCTATAGTCTAGTCTATAGTCTAGTCTATAGTCTAGTCTATAGTCTAGTCTATAGTCTAGTCTATAGTCTAGTCTTAGTCTAGTCTATAGTCTAGTCTATAGTCTATAGTCCTAATAGTCTAGTCCTATAGTCTAGTCCTAGTCTAGTCTATAGTCTAGTCTATAGTCTAGTCTATATTCTAGTCTATAGTCAGTCTATAGTCTAGTCTATAGTCTATAGTCTAGTCTATAGTCTAGTCTATAGTCTAGTCTATAGTCTAGTCTATAGTCTAGTCTATAGTCTAGTCTATAGTCTAGTCTATAGTCTAGTCTATAGTCTAGTCTATAGTCTAGTCTATAGTCTAGTCTATAGTCTAGTCTATAGTCTAGTCTATAGTCTAGTCTATAGTCTAGTCTATAGTCTAGTCTATAGTCTAGTCTATAGTCTAGTCTATAGTCTAGTCTATAGTCTAGTCTATAGTCTAGTCTATAGTCTAGTCTATAGTCTAGTCTATAGTCTAGTCTATAGTCTAGTCTATAGTCTAGTCTATAGTCTAGTCTATAGTCTAGTCTATAGTCTAGTCTATAGTCTAGTCTATAGTCTAGTCTATAGTCTAGTCTATAGTCTAGTCTATAGTCTAGTCTATAGTCTAGTCTAGTCTAGTCTATAGTCTAGTCTATAGTCTAGTCTATAGTCTAGTCTATAGTCTAGTCTATAGTCTAGTCTATAGTCTAGTCTATAGTCTAGTCTATAGTCTAGTCTATAGTCTAGTCTATAGTCTAGTCTATAGTCTAGTCTATAGTCTAGTCTATAGTCTAGTCTATAGTCTAGTCTATAGTCTAGTCTATAGTCTAGTCTATAGTCTAGTCTATAGTCTAGTCTATAGTCTAGTCTATAGTCTAGTCTATAGTCTAGTCTATAGTCTAGTCTATAGTCTAGTCTATAGTCTAGTCTATAGTCTAGTCTATAGTCTATAGTCTAGTCTATAGTCTAGTCTATAGTCTAGTCTATAGTCTAGTCTATAGTCTAGTCTATAGTCTAGTCTATAGTCTAGTCTATAGTCTAGTCTATAGTCTAGTCTATAGTCTAGTCTATAGTCTAGTCTATAGTCTAGTCTATAGTCTAGTCTATAGTCTAGTCTATAGTCTAGTCTATAGTCTAGTCTATAGTCTAGTCTATAGTCTAGTCTATAGTCTAGTCTATAGTCTAGTCTATAGTCTAGTCTATAGTCTAGTCTATAGTCTAGTCTATAGTCTAGTCTATAGTCTAGTCTATAGTCTAGTCTATAGTCTAGTCTATAGTCTAGTCTATAGTCTAGTCTATAGTCTAGTCTATAGTCTAGTCTATAGTCTAGTCTATAGTCTAGTCTATAGTCTAGTCTATAGTCTAGTCTATAGTCTAGTCTATAGTCTAGTCTATAGTCTAGTCTATAGTCTAGTCTATAGTCTAGTCTATAGTCTAGTCTATAGTCTAGTCTATAGTCTAGTCTATAGTCTAGTCTATAGTCTAGTCTATAGTCTAGTCTATAGTCTATAGTCTAGTCTATAGTCTAGTCTATAGTCATAGTCTATAGTCTAGTCTATAGTCTAGTCTATAGTCTAGTCTATAGTCTAGTCTATAGTCTAGTCTATAGTCTAGTCTATAGTCTAGTCTATAGTCTATCATAGTCTATAGTCTATAGTCTATAGTCTAGTCTATAGTCTAGTCTATAGTCTATAGTCTATAGTCTATAGTCTAGTCTAGTCTAGTCTATAGTCTAGTCTATAGTCTAGTCTATAGTCTAGTCTATAGTCTAGTCTATAGTCTAGTCTATAGTCTAGTCTAAGTCTAGTCTATAGTCTAGTCTATAGTCTAGTCTATAGTCTAGTCTATAGTCTAGTCTATAGTCTAGTCTATAGTCTAGTCTATAGTCTAGTCTATAGTCTAGTCTATAGTCTAGTCTATAGTCTAGTCTATAGTCTAGTCTATAGTCTAGTCTATAGTCTAGTCTATAGTCTAGTCTATAGTCTAGTCTATAGTCTAGTCTATAGTCTAGTCTATAGTCTAGTCTATAGTCTAGTCTATAAGTCTAGTCTATAGTCTAGTCTATAGTCTAGTCTATAGTCTAGTCTATAGTATAGTCTATAGTATAGTCTATAGTATAGTCTATAGTCTAGTCTATAGTATAGTCCTATAGTCTAGTCTATAGTATAGTCTATAGTCCTAGTCTATAGTCTAGTCTATATATAGTCTGAAATTTAGCTTATCGTCTATAACTACTCCTAGATATGTAAGATGCTGCTGGATGAGATGGTGTGGTTTCCAATTTGTATATTTATTTTGTATTCTATTTTCCGCTTTCAAAAGATACGCCATATTTTGTGAATACCGCAATTTTTAAGTTATACACCCAAAAATTGTACAAAGTGAAATCTTCTGAATATTCAATTTAAGTTGAAATTATTAGAATTTTGTTATCAAAATTCTTGCATAATAATTTGTAGCATTTTAATTTAACCGGGAGTTTTTTCTTATAAACACATTTTTGGTCTCCATTTATGAAAAGACAGAGTTAGTAAATTGAGTACTTTGAATATGTTTTTTTTTTCATATTGTTGTTGTAATAAAACTTTTTTGTCTTTATGCTTACCACGCATGAGGTTAATGTTTTTTTTTTATAAAAAAATCATATAAAGAAAGAATAATGTTGATAAATTTAGTTAAACATGTGTTAAGTCCATATTAATGTACACATTCCTACATATTTTATATATTTATATGTACATATGTATGTAGTTATGTACAATATGTTTTGGTATATAAAAGTAACAATATTTATACACATTTATGTATAAATAAATAATAAAAAAAATCAAAATAAAAACAAAATCAAAAAACCAATTCTCTCTCTTACAACTTACCACACTTATAGTTGTTGTTACTGGCAGAATGCGTAGACCAGGGCTGCGACGCGTGTAAAGTGTAAAATCCCTTGAATGCCGCATTAACATGCGGATACTTGTGGTTGCACAAACGCCCGCTGCCATTGTAATAAGTAAATTGTTTTTGTTGTCTTTTGGTAGCTTTGTTTTTGGCGTTTTTGTTTATTAACTGTTGTTTTTGTTTGTTACTGGTTTTGCGGTTAACTGATGCTGCTACTGAGACTAACGTCGACGTCAAGTGTTCGTTTAATAATGCTAATAATTTTTAGTAATGTGATGTTTGCTGTTTTTTTAAACACTCTGTTGATTCATCTTTTTTTTTAAACACAATTTTTATTATTATTAATAATAATTTATTAGATAGATTTTTTTGGATTTTAAACTCTGGGCACAAATAAACGGGAAAAAATGTACACATTTACCACACCTAGACTTTAGAGAATTTATTTTTATTTAAATTAAGACTACACTATTTTAGAGATTAATTTTAATATTAATATTTTAATTAAAGAAATTAATTTATTTATAAAGCTAAAGGATAAACAACAATTTAAACTATTGCTACTAATTTTACAACAAATAAGTAAATGCCAAAAGCAAAAACAATTCACGCACTTTATTTTTTCTTAGTTTTTTTGCTGAGGGGGAGCAGAGAGAGAGAGTGGAGATAAATAAACTTTTGTTTTGCTCTTTTTGCAAATTTCTTTTTTTAGTAACTAATTTTTTTCAGCTGCTAAATAAAATTTTCTTAAATTCCTTTAATATTAAACACTTTTTTCTAATATTTCTACAATTTCAATAAAAACTTAAATAATTTTTCTTTTTATTTCACCCGTTTAAAAGCGTGTGCGGGTGTGTATGTGTGTATTCAGTGTATGCGGCAATAATTCCAATAAGTAAAGAATGCTAAACAAGTGTCGTCGGCCGCTTTATTTTTCTTTTCTCTTATTATAATTGTTGTTGTATTTTTTTTAGATAATACCGTAAATCTTATAAAAGTCACAACAACAACAATATTCACTTTAATTTATTTATTAATTTTGCTTTAAACATACTTTAATAACAACAACAACAATAACAAAAATAAATAACACAAAAAACAACAAACACACACGTTTAACGTTCGATTTATCGTCACCAGACAACACGAGACACGGACGAGAGTCGATGATTTGTACCAACGAACTACTAGACAAACACTAAAAATTCACACAACAAATTCTTTCAATAACGGCAGCATTTAATAATAATAATTCCTTCTTTCTTTCTTTCTTAAGATTCTCCCAACTGCGTGAGTTTTGTTGTTGCTGTTTTTTTCTATTTTCGCTTTTTATTTTAATAGATATTTTTATGTTTTTATTCTCACGGCGCAAGTTGTTCATTTGTGTCAAAAAGCAAGGGGCAACAACAACAAAAATCATACAAACAACAAGTCATAATACTACTTATTTTGACAGTCGGCCACACAACACAGCGTTGTTAAATGTAGGACTTTACAACAAAAACATTTGAATGTCAGATACAAAAGAGCTTTAAGTTTGTCAACAGTGTTGGTTTTCTTAAATACAAATTTAGTGCTTTTTAAAAGCAATTGGTACTTGTTTATAGTTAGTTAGTTAGTTAGTTAGTTAGTTAGTTAGTTAGTTAGTTAGTTAGTTAGTTAGTTAGTTAGTTAGTAGTTAGTTAGTTAGTTAGTTAGTTAGTTAGTTAGTAGTTAGTAGTTAGTTAGTTAGTTAGTAGTTAGTTAGTTAGTTAGTTAGTTAGTTAGTTAGTAGTTAGTTAGTTAGTTAGTAGTTAGTTAGTTAGTTAGTTAGTTAGTTCGTTAGTTAGTTAGTTAGTTAGTTAGTTAGTTAGTTAGTTAGTTAGTTAGTTAGTTAGTTAGTTAGTTAGTTAGTTAGTTAGTTAGTTAGTTAGTTAGTTAGTTAGTTAGTTAGTTAGTTAGTTAGTTAGTTAGTTAGTTAGTTAGTTAGTTAGTTAGTTAGTTAGTTAGTTAGTTAGTTAGTTAGTTAGTTAGTTAGTAGTTAGTTAGTTAGTTAGTTAGTTAGTTAGTTAGTTAGTAGTTAGTTAGTTAGTTAGTTAGTTAGTTAGTTAGTTAGTTAGTTAGTTAGTTAGTTAGTTAGTTAGTTAGTTAGTTAGTTAGTTAGTAGTTAGTTAGTTAGTTAGTTAGTTAGTTAGTTAGTTAGTTAGTTAGTTAGTTAGTTAGTTAGTTAGTTAGTTAGTTAGTTAGTTAGTTAGTTAGTTAGTTAGTTAGTTAGTTAGTAGTTAGTTAGTTAGTTAGTTAGTTAGTTAGTTAGTTAGTTAGTTAGTTAGTTAGTTAGTTAGTTAGTTAGTTAGTTAGTTAGTTAGTTAGTTAGTTAGTTAGTTAGTTAGTTAGTTAGTTAGTTAGTTAGTAGTTAGTAGTTAGTTAGTTAGTAGTTAGTTAGTTAGTTAGTTAGTTAGTTAGTTAGTTAGTTAGTTAGTAGTTAGTTAGTTAGTTAGTTAGTTAGTTAGTTAGTAGTTAGTTAGTTAGTTAGTTAGTTAGTAGTTAGTTAGTTAGTTAGTTAGTTAGTTAGTTAGTTAGTAGTTAGTTAGTTAGTTAGTTAGTTAGTTAGTTAGTTAGTTAGTTAGTTAGTTAGTTAGTTAGTTAGTTAGTAGTTAGTTAGTTAGTTAGTTAGTTAGTTAGTTAGTTAGTTAGTTAGTTAGTTAGTAGTTAGTTAGTTAGTTAGTTAGTTAGTTAGTTAGTTAGTTGCCATTTATAATGACAGAAATTATGAAAAGTAACGGCTCTAACTGTTAAATTACCAAAAATCATAGAAAAATTCAAAGCAGATAAAACAGTTTCATAGTAAATAATTTTGGTAAAACCGTGAAAGGCACCATTAGCTAAGATCCAAACCATTTCCCAATTTATAATATGTTTCAAATTCAACATCTCACCATACCGGCGAAACTACTTAGAGGTGAAATGTTACATTAACAGTCTGGACAAGCCTATGGATTGCAGACTATTATGTTTAAACTAGAATTGCCATTTATAACAAATTAGAACTTTAAAGTATTTTTTGAAAAATTTTAAAAGTTGAACTGTACGTTATAAATATTGCCGTTAGTTGTCTTTCATAATTGATTTTTAATAGTTATTGTGCAAAAAGTGTTGTTGACAGAAGTATATTTATTAATCTATAGACTTATCTACAGATGTGTGGACTGTATGGACTTATTCAATTGATTAGTATGATGATTATGTATGTATTTGTTAATTCATTTTCAAAATTAGTTCATAAACTCTTGTTAAATACTTGTGAAAAGGGCCAATTGTATTTTTAAATTATGTATATTTAAATTAATTATAATTAATTATACAGTACAACTACATACATACATACATACATATGTCTGTATAAATTTAGCCATTATTATTTTTAAACTAATGTTTATTTAAATGTAAATAAACAATAATTTTAATAAATCACAATTTTTAATAACTCTATTTCAATTACAAATTGACACAACAATGTAGTAGAAACCTAAAAACATCACATTTATTAAAAGGAAAAAACTGCAACTTTCTGGTATCATTTTAAATATTTAATTAAATATTAATTGAATGAATATTAAAAAAGACAAATAAATATAAACCGATATTTACACAAAATAAATTTAATCATAATTACATGATTGTTTTAACTGTACAACGGGATTAAATATTTGGAAAAGGTCCAAAAATTAAAAAATGCGGATGAATAATCTCTAGGCTTGCATAAAATATAATATAAATTATATATAGGTAGATAGATAGATAGATAGATAGATAGATAGATAGATAGATAGATAGATAGATAGATAGATAGATAGATAGATAGATAGATAGATAGATAGATAGATAGATAGGTAGCCTAGGTAGGTAGATAGACAGATAGATAGATAGATAGATAGATAGATAGATAGATAGATAGATAGATAGATAGATAGATAGATAGATAGATAGATAGATAGATAGATAGATAGATAGATAGATAGATAGATAGATAGATAGATAGATAGATAGATAGATAGATAGATAGATAGATAGATAGATAGATAGATAGATAGATAGATAGATAGATAGATAGATAGATAGATAGATAGATAGATAGATAGATAGATAGATAGATAGATAGATAGATAGATAGATAGATAGATAGATAGATAGATAGATAGATAGATAGATAGATAGATAGATAGATAGATAGATAGATAGATAGATAGATAGATAGATAGATAGATAGATAGATAGATAGATAGATAGATAGATAGATAGATAGATAGATAGATAGATAGATAGATAGATAGATAGATAGATAGATAGATAGATAGATAGATAGATAGATAGATAGATAGATAGATAGATAGATAGATAGATAGATAGATAGATAGATAGATAGATAGATAGATAGATAGATAGATAGATAGATAGATAGATAGATACGTCGGTCGGTAGGTAGTTAGATACATTTCCTCTTCAATAGATACATATTTAACATACAGACCAGACTCTATACTTAGCAACTTTTAAACATTGCCACCCTTTTCACCACACACTTTAAATAAATAAATTTTTGTTTTTATTGATTTAATAATTTATTAAAATAACTTATTATTAAATTAACTACAACCATATATGATATATTATGTTTAAACAATTTTGTTCTCGTTATTTGGCTCCACCGCAATGTAAAAATAATATCCAAAACCATAAACAAATTGTGTTTATAAATTATAGAAAAAAAATATTTTTCATTAAATTTATTTATTTATTTAAATATGTAATTGTAATATAAATGAACTCATCAGCATATAATATTTTTATATACACAGACAATAAATTAGTCACCTATTAAATGGAATTAAAAAATAATTAGACGAAATTTTGTAAATTATACAAACTAAATGATTAGAAAATCTCTTAAATATATTTTACATTTATAATTTTAATACTTGGGATTATATATTAATTCTTAAACTATGTATCTAATTTTGTTAAGTGTATTTTATGTAATAATTTAAATAAAATTACCTGCACTTAATTATACACTAAAATTGCAAGCGCCAACATGCTCATAAAAATTCAAAATATGTATTACAAAAATGCTTTAGGGAATACTTACACCAAACCAGTACAAGTTTTTAATTATTTGTTTTATTTATAACAAAAAATAAATAAATAAAAATAATTACATAAAATTGCAAATGTAAACACATAAACATATCTTTATATCATGGGGTTAACTATAAACTCTCTGTCCCAAAATTAATTGAATTAATAATATTTTAGGGACATAAATAAACATTTATCATAAAAATTAAATTGTATGTGATACGTTGATAAAACAATGTTTAGAGAAAAAATTGATTGCAATTTCTCTATAGAAAAATTGTTGGTCAGAAGCTTTTCTAGAAAGAAAATTTGGTCGAAATTTTTTCATAGAAAAGTCTAATGTGTCCTAAAAAGAGAAAGATTTGTGGAAAATTTTCTTTACAAAGAAAATTGGTCAAAATTTTTCTATAGAAAAAACTCTTGGTTCATAGTTTCGAACGCTTTCTAAAAAAAGATAATTTGGTCGAAAATTTTCTACAGAAAGGTCAAGAGTTTCTATAAAGAGACATATTGTTGGAAAGTTTTCTACAGAAAGAATATTTAGTCGAATATGTTCCATAGAAAGAAATTTTGGTCAAAAATTCTCTACAAAAAGTAAATTTGGTCGAAAGTTTTCTATAGAAAGAAAATTTGTTTGAAATTTAGTCCAAAGTTTTCGATAAAAAAAACTGGTTTAATGATTTCTATAGATAGAAAATTTGGTCGAAAATTTTCTATAGAAAGGTCGTGTGATTTCTACAAAGAGAAAATTTTGTTGAAAGTTAACTACAGAAAGAATATTTGGTGAAACTGGAAAATTTTTTCTAGAAAGGACGAGTGATTTCTATAAAGACAAAATTTGGTTGGAAGTATAGAATACTATAGAAAGAATATTTGGTGAAACTGTTCCATAGAAAGACAATTTTGGTCAACAATTCTATACAGAAAGTAAATTTGGTCGAAAGTTTTCGCTAAAAAATTTAGTCCAATGGTCTCTATAGAAAGAAAATTTTGTCTAAAATTTTCTATAGAAAGGTCGAGTGATTTCAATAAAGAGAAAATTTGATTGAATATTTTCTATAGAAAAATATTTGGTCGAAAATATTTCATAAAAAGAAAATTTTG